TCTTAACATGTTCACAACTTGAATTAACTTTATGTGCTTTTACTGCCTAGAGTCCAGGGCTTCCTTTTTCCTAGAGCTTTTATTTAAAAAAACAAAATTGAAATTGTAAATCTTTTGTGCGTCTCTTTGAGATGTAAATCTTCTCCCAGAATCTTGAGGGTTGAAAAGCCAAGAATGTCTTTTTCAAGGATCTAGGAGCCAAGTCTTTTAAGTGCAGTAATGTATATTGTAAATGTAAAAAATATCATGAAGAAAGATAAATTCCAGTCTATGTGTGCAACATTAATACATGACAATTAGCAAACAGAAATGATCTAATCACATTGACTAACCTCCACCCTGAACTTTTCCACTAGCTCACCCCAGTACTTAAAAACTCCTATCTTTTGTTTCAGCAGAGTTGTGTTCAGTCTATCTCCCTTTTTGCAAGAGTGCTGAATTAATTCTTCCTTGACTGTTTAATTCCGTCCAGTGCAATTTTTCTTGAACACAGTCAGGCTGAAGATATGACAATATCCATGAGTAAAAATGCTGCAGATTCTCCCTACTCTTTACCTGAAGTCCGACATTTTCATGAATAAATGCTAATCAATTTGTTGTTTGCCTCTGGTTGCATTCCATAACCTGGAATGGTTATTTTTGACAATTTGTCTGGTGTTATACTTATTTGTTGGGGGAAAGATTTACCGACCTTTTGATTTTGCTGTACCCACCTTCTGACATTGTCATAAGTCTGAATTCCAACATCATTGCCAGGAGGAGTTCTATTGGCCATTCATAATTTGGAAATCATTGTGCAATCTTTTGCTGAATACAAATCATTTACTAAGAAGAAAATCTATTTCCATTACATTACTGGTATTTCATTGTATTTTAGTACACAAAGAAGAATCTTACTGTATTTTTACTGTATTTTTTCTTAATTTCTCTTTATTTTGCTTAATGAGACATTTCTTCGAGTCTAATTTACACTTTGTTTTCTTTCTTTTTCCTTCTCTCATGTATTTCTTATTCTCTTTATGTGTTTTGTCAAATGACTTTTTAAAAGCTAGCTAAATTTTCTTCACTGATTATCATTGTTTATAAGAATATTTATATTTCCAGAAAGAATTAGTTAAGCAAGTTGGCAAAGTATGACTTTATTTTTAATTTGCAGCCCAGGATGGAATGCTGATCCACCAAATGCTAGTTTTTTATCCTCCCAAGTAGGAAAATGATACATCAATCATTATACTTCTCAAGATCTTTTTCTCTTTATGAAGGCCATTGCCTGCCATGCTCCTCAGTTGACATGCATGAAGGTGGATTATACACGTGGAACCATAGTGGATAAATCCACCCCCAAGTTCCTTTGAAAATCTTGACTTTTGCAACTTTAGCTCAGTGATTTATTTTCATTTAACCTTTTTGAGTAATTTCACTGTGTGATTCAATAATTCATATTTGTCTGCTTTAAGATTTTTAGACCCACTGTTACACTGTTATTTTTTATAATTTTACCAATATCTTTCCCAATACCTATATTCTTCCGTATTTTATATGTGGATAGGTAAGTATGTGTAAAAATAAACATTCATTATTGCAAGATTATGGCAAGGTTAGGCTATAATTTGTCCCTATTTCCTAAGAGGATAAAATTGAGACATGAAAGAATATAAGAAGCAAGTTAACATCATCATCTTTATCATCATCATCAATAATAATAATAACAACAACAAGAATGTAATGCGTATTTGTCATTTGCTATGTGCCAAGAAGTTCTTTAATGAGTTATTTAGCACTTAAAGTAGCCCTATGAGCAGAGACTTCCATTATGTCCATTTTATAAGAAAAATATATATATAGTTAGAAAGTCTCAAAATTACCTGTAATAAAATAAAACTGACTTGCAGTGTTCTCTCACACTTAACCTGTGTTAGGTGTTGTTCCAAGATCTTTCTATCTTTAACATAGTAAAGTAATACACTTAAAACAATCAAATAAAATCTAATAGCTATTGTTATGGTTATCCTCATAGTGCAGATAGGTAAAATAAAGCATGCAGATGCTAAACTACTTTTATATATTCATGTAGCTTATAATTGATCAATCCAGGATGAGAGTCCCTCATCCTATTTCTCTAGAGAGAGTGGGAGCTGATATTTAAATTATGATCACTTTCTACTAGATCCCATGCATTACCACCACATTCTACTGTCTTGCAGACAAATTGCATATGAGTTTTTATGAGAATTATTGAAGTTTGGGATTACAAAAGACTTTAGAAGTGACCATCTTAGGAAAAATCTATTTTGCATCTACTGAAAAGTCCTCTCCAAAACATTAACAAGTTCTTCTGTAGGTCTATTTGAAAAATCCTATTACAGGATATATGGATTTAAGTAGCAACTTATTCAGGTTTGAGTTAATATTATTAGAAAGTATTTTCTTCTGTTGTGATGAAATTTGGGTTCCTACAGATGCAACCAGATGTTTTGAGCCTGAATTGTCCCTGTGAAATCACAGATATGTTTACTTTCTTTTCCCCATTATAGCCCTTTAAACATACTAAATAAAACTTAAAAGGAAACTTGTATGGTTTTCAGTTTCTTAAGCAATCCACATCTAACACAGCTCCAAATTCCCTTACCATAGTTGTCTCTCCCCATTGGAACAAATAAATTTACAAATTTACCATGAAGCATAATACATAATATTTCAGGTGTGTTCTGAGTATTATAGAATAGAGTAGGGTTAAAACTTTCCATTCCATTCCTGGAAATAGCATAATGTAATGGTAGAAATTTTCTGCTCTTAATTCTTAAAACCATGTTACTTTAGACAATGTACCTTGATTCTCTATGACTCAGTTTCCTCCTTAGTCAAATGTGAATGATAATTATGCCTACTTTGTTGAGTTGATATGAGAATCAAGTGAGATCATGAAGTGATCATTTAGAAAACTGCCTATTACACACGTCTCAAGGTTGGAAACTACAGGTAACATTATTTTAAAATTCAGGCACTTATTGTGTATAGAAAATGAATGTAGATGTGGATGTTACAAAGAGAGAAATATGATATCCACGTTCCAAAGGCACTTCCACTTAAAATTCTAGATTTTATATTTCTTGTGAGTTGACCAATTGCATTTGATTTTGGAAAATCATAAATCAGTTCACCCTGTGGATTTATAATTATGTAAGAGTAAGGAAAAACCCTGGAGCCTTTTTCAAAGCTGCTTCTGAAATGCTCTCTCTTCTATCCTTTCTTTCTAATTTAGGTTTATCCAGTTCCATCTTTTGGAATTCTGATTGTGTCTTTCTAATTCCTGATTTTCTGCCAAAGTTCCTAGTCACATGTGCCTGTGAGAAGCCTTTCTCCCATCAGTGTTGTCAACCTGGCCCTTGATGGAATGTGAAGTAGAACAGAATCAGAGAAAGATCTTGCAGCAACTCATCAGAGGACTCCTGGGGAGTCATTTACATAGTTAGGAATCAGCCTTGAAGTACTCACACCCAGAACATTTCTTAATTTTGTTAATAGGACAGTTTGGGAAACTTTCTCCAGGAAGCTTTTTATAAATCCAAATGTCTATCATCAATTTATGTAGCATCACCTGCAGATGAAATAAGTTTAGAGCAGTGCAATTGTTCACAGAGAACCTGTGCTGATTCTTGGTAATTACTGTCTTCTTCTATAAGGGTTCTCAGAAATCTTTTGAAGAATCACTTGTATAATCTAAATAGGCATTAAAACTAATGGGCCTTTTGTATTTTAAGATATATTTCTGCTTCTTTTTGGAAGTTGAGGCTTTTTTTTTTCCTGTCACCAATATTGTCTCCACCATTAACTGCCAAGACAGATCACGATGGCTCAGAAAATCTCATTTACAAATTCTCTCAGAGTTTTGAAATTTTATTTTTCAGGGTCTCAACACTTGAAGCATTTATCCCTCACAATCACCCTATTTAGTTTGGTTTCAATTACTCTTCCCCTGATGCTTTTCTAGCCCTCTCCAGTTGAAAATCTCTCTTGACAAAAGAGAAACAAAAATCTATTGTTCATCACTGACTTCAAGTTGATAACTTCATTTGTATTCTTGCTAAAAATAAATATGACATTGGTACTTTTAAAATATTCTTTGCATTTCCATTACCCCTATTCTTTTTGACTTTAGTCTTCTACACCATTTTCTTAGCTCTAATATATCCGTATATTGGCCCAAGCACAGGCCCTTGTGTATATTTAATGATTCCTTCAATAAATGTATGTTGAGTCCTGAGCTGGGAAGTAGCTCAGCAGTAGAGTGCTTGCTTAGCAAGCATGAAGCCTTGGGTGTGCTTGTGTGTGTGTGTGTGTGTGTGTGTGTGTGTGTAACTATATCTATATATTTATATCTACAGCCTGTTACTTTCCAGGCACAGTTCTAGACACAGAGTATACAGCAGTAGATGAAATAGACATATTCCTTGTTTTACCGTCCAGTATCTGGTATAAATCTTTATTTATCAAATATTTATTTATCGCCCCATTTTTTCCACCTAAAGACACTTTTCTTTCACATGCTTAACTTTTTAATTTTAACCATTATTTTACCCTTTGGGGAGACATTTTCAATTAGACTCTTATAATCCTGGAAGAATCATCAGCGTCTCCCCCTGAAATTTCTTGAAGTCAGACCTCTCAACATCCATGTCAATATCTAACATTTCCTCCTTACACTTCTCTCCCATAATGTTTCCATTCTCTTGTAAAACTGATGAGCAATGTGGGAACAAGGGGTTTTGTCATAATTCATGCTTATGTTGAGTGTAAGTTTTAGATTTTTTTATGTTTCATTTCTTTTTCATTATTCCTTTATGTATGGATTTTTTCATGGATTTATTATATCACCTACATATTTTTCCAAGTTGTAAGAGGTTTATTAAGAATAGATTCATATGTGGGTTGAGAAACTTTCTCTATTCTGCATGTGATCATATGTTTTATTACTAATTTAAAATTTTGTTGCATTCTAGGAATAACCCTAAGCTAGTCTGTATCATCCTTGCTTTATGGACATGGAGTATGTTGCAGTTTCCACTGGACCTGGCAGGTAAACGTCTTGAAAATTATGCAAAGAAACATCAGATTAAAACTTTTGATTGCAAACTCTGCTAAAGTTAATGAGATAATTGAGAGAATTATCATTTTGATATTCCAGAGTTAGTTACAGTTCAGCTTAGGAGGAAAGTAGATGGAAACATTGGGAAGCCATGAGTGGATCCACTGGTGCATAATGAGCTGAAGATAGTTCGGTGGACAATCACACAACTTTATATTCACTAAAATAATGGATCCACCATTTATGATCTGTAAAATCCCCTGAAAATTTTTTAGTGTGTCTGTGGCTTAGTTTCTTCAACCATGAAATGTAATTATAATCATGACAGGGAGGGTTGATGGCTCTTGTGATGAACATAGAGTTTATAAAGAGTCTAGCAAGTTGCTGGCATAAAAGTAGTATCTCTTTGATATTCGTAAGGGTTTATTTTTGTTCCTATGTAAGAGCCATGTATTGGGGGAATAATCGATGTTTGAGGGCCACAAATGAAAAATTAAAATTTTTCTCCATGACAGCCCTTGTAATGACATTTGATTTTACTTGAATCAATATATAAACCTTAAAGACTTTGCAAGAGGCAAGCTTTGTCCTGGACAGTTCATAGTAGCAAGGATATACAGATGTTTTGTCCAACATGGTAGCCACTTGACATGTGTGGCTCTTCAAATTTAAATTTATTAAAGTCAAGTAAAATTATTGGTTTAGTTCCTTAGTCACACTAGCCACATTTCAAGTGCTCAAATGCCACATGTGGCTCCCATATTGAATATGGATATGGGAGTAAAGATGTGGAAATTTTTACCATCTCAGAAAGTTCAGTTGGTCAGTGTTGACATGGAGCCATACCACAGCTTTTTGGTACCATGGAGTTTTGCAATTCTGCTGGGTAACTCCTCACTTTGGAGAAATTCTGGAATTTAATTATTACATTTTTCTTAGTCTGGCTTTTTTTTTAAATACTCTATCTGCTGGTCTCAGGGTTAGAATGAATCCTTAGGACAGGCATATTTAACTTTTTTTTCTGTCTTTTTTTTTTGGTTCACTTTGATAAGCTCAGAGACCATTTTAGATCTTAGCTTCCACTTTGCAAAACAAACTTGTCATCAGAACAGATGGAAAGAGTTGCTGGAACTTTTTCAAAAAACCGAAACCTAATTACTAATTAATAATGACAAACAATTATATTCTAACACACACACACACATACATACACACACTGATTTTGTTAGAGTGTGCCCTAGAAAGTGCACAATTCTTATTAATCAACTGATAGAATATTAGCTGGTCATCTGGTCTGCTGATAGAATATTCAGGCCCATCACTGTAAGTACCCAGTAATACTTTTAGGGCCCTCTTGGAGCCACTTCCGGACTCTTACTTCTTAGGAAAAGCCGTTACTGATTTTTATGTTGGTTTTTATTTTGTCATTCACTATGCTTATCCTCACCCTCTCATTTCTTGTGGTTTATAGCCTTGCTAAGAAATTTTTTTATTTAAGAAAGAAATTTTGTGAATTTCAGGGGTGATAATGTTATGCAGCTGTTAGAAAAACAAAGACCAAATGTTACTTCTGACTAAATCACTATTGTATTTTCCAACAAAAAGTACATTATGTTCACCCATATCAAAGCAGCTTCATAATATTTGCAGGCTCCAGTAAACGAAGGCATTCTTTGTTTGAAAACTCCAAATGGAAGGCTTCATTATTATAAAAGGATTATTTTCTGTCCTTGACCCTGAATTAAATTTACATTTTATAAATTAAAACAAAAAGTTTCATCTGTTGATTGGACCTCCTTTTGTACAACTGGAAAATCAGTAATTATATCCAGTCTTTCTAGGAAACTGTGAAACAAAAGCATAAGAAATTAGGACAAAATAAAATAACAATGGCATTTATTTGGACTCTTCCCCCATTAGAAAAATGTGTTTGACATGAATTAAATTTGAATTTGATTATAAGCGCTTGGGTTTTCACAGCACATTTTACACATATAACTGAGTCAGTCAGAAAGAAAATAGGTAGATACTAATGAGAAGTTCTAGAATGATCTGACTCAGGTACACTTTGTCAAATTTAACAGTCAAGGAAGCCACTCATCATTCCAAAGGGAAGATTGAATGAGAGAGGGAAGAGAAGCAGAGGTGTCATTTCTAATTAAAACAAAATGAACCAATGAGTAGGAAACCCTGACCTCACACAGACGGTTATCCCAGTTTTCAAAGGAAGAAACTGAGGCAAGAAATAAGCTGTTCATTATCTCGCAGCCAGACTCCCCCAGATGAGTCCTTGAGTCCACTTCTCAACTGCCATCCTACAGTGCAGGCCTCCAAGACACATGTGGCAGTCTCCTTAATTCTTTATTCTCTGTTTAACACTCTATTTAACTGAGGCTTCCTCCGAGTGAGAACAAGAGGCTGATTTGAATTTTTTTTTTTTTTCAGTTAATGAAAACCATGCATTGGGAAGGACCAGGGAGCTTTCACCTGTTCCAGACAAAATTAAATCAGAGTCATTTCCCACCATTTACTAGTATAGGGCCCATTGTTATTGACTTGTCTGATTTCATCTGTCTTCCATTTCTACATTTAAGAGAGGTACGCTAATGGGTCTGTCTTGTGTTTTCAGTACATCACATCGAGTGCCCCTTGGCTGTGACAAGGCGGGGATACATCAAGCAGTTCTTCTGCCAGTGCAGTTCCTCTTTGTGGAACATCGGAATCAGCGTCTTCATACAAGATGGCCCATTCCTTGTTGTGAGGCTCATACTGATAACCTATTTTAAAGTGATAAATCAAATGCTGGTGTTCTTCGCGGTGAAGAATTTCCTCGTGGTGGTGTTGCACCTCTACCGCCTGGTGGTGTTGGCTTTGGGATTCCGTGCTTCCCTGAGGCACCCGTCAGAGGCCACCAATGCAGAGCACAGATACCTGGCTCAACCCTCTGGGTCAAAGGAGGGACTGTCCATTCCTTTGCGGGCCTCCCCAGTCACCTCGGAGGACTCCCATCTGACACCATAGTTATTTCTTCTCAGCAGCATGCAGCTACAAATTTTGACTTTTGGATTTTTCTTACAGCCGTGGTGTACTCCTTCTTCTTTTCCCCCAATCTTTGCATATGGTAATTTTCAAAGAAACAACATGAAAAAGTGATCTTAAGTCAAAGCAGAAGAATTTTCTCTTTTTTTTTTTTTGACGAAATGGAAGGAACATTTGATTAGTGGCTATGGCTACAACCTCCTTGTGATGGTATCAGATGTGATAGTTGTTCAATAGCTAAGTGATTTGTTTGTGTTGAACTGTTTCAAAAGCTATGGACAGGGTTGCCGTGACATGCCCTGGAAAGATTTAGTGCAGACAAACTGTCGCAGCTGTTACCTGAAAATATAGAAGCTTTGAACTTTGGCTGCATTGTCAGACTATCTCGTCTAATCTTTTCTGCAATGTCCCTCTGACATCAAAAAATGTACATTCAGTGAATGCAGAACAAATGAGGGAAAAGTGCCTTTAAAATTACCTCATTGTGAGCTGGAAGCAGAGAAAATCTCTGCCCAGCTTCCATATCATACAGAGCCGTATTCATCGCTACACAGGCCTTCCCACGAAAATCATTTTTCTGGGCTGATGTGGTATTCTGTCATGGCACATATGGTCTTACAGAAATTTTATTGCTTTTGGCTTGGGTACTACAAAATTCACAGCAAGCCATTTCGGTTACGTATCTACTGGTTGCAAAGCAGGAAATACTGGTAAAATGCTAGAATAGTCACAATTTCCACTCTGAATACGATTTGCAGTATTCATCAGTGTTTTTCTGAACCCACTTTACTGTTTTCTGTATTGCCAAGTCGCATCATGTGAGCTGAACCAGGACAGCTCAGGAGCCATGAATAAAGGTGTTTTGGGTCCTTAAATGTTACCATGGTTTCTGGTGTCTGTCAGCAGCAGCAAACATAGCTGCAGCTCCTTGAACGGCCACCACTGAAACTGACTTGGGCTTTGGTCTCCAGAATGTGGGGATGGAGGGTTGCATCAGCCCCATCCACTGCCCTTGATGGATGCTGGCGTCAGTAGCAACTTACCATCGCATCCTGGGAATCAGGAAATGCGGTTCATTTGCTCACACTGGGACTTCCTTTTTCCACTATTGAAATAGCCATTCTTTCCCTTTATACATCTCTGGACTCTGTATGATCCTTTTAAGGGTATGCCCTTAATTGGGTGTGACCTATTGACAACTGTTTGGGACAATTTTATGTACAAATCTGGATGTGACATGATATCCATTTAAATAATTAGATAAAAAAGTTTTAAAGACATATTCTGGTTTTATGCAGAGCAATGTATATTTTCCAATAAATTCTATTTCTTTTCTTCCTCGTGCTTCTATTTTTAACATGATTGTAAAATTACAGATGAATTGAACAGAATACATTTATAATTTTGCACAATAATTTTATACAAGATCAGGAAATTATATTTATATGAAATACAGAACTTGACAACTTTTAAGGGCATGTTATTTAAATTGCTTAGCAATGGAAAGCAAAATAATAACTGCTATTTATAAAAATGCCTCAGCAGAATCTGTTTTTGTGTTGACTATTTTATGTTGAATACTTTCTTCCACAACATGTATGTGCTGCTTATTATTGCAGATTTGCCCATGGCATACTTTTCATGTTTTAATTTTTTTTATTCCAGCAAAACAAACATTGAGCCTCTAAAAATAGATAAAGTATAAAGTAGTACGGCTGTTGCAAAGATATTTTTAAGTGCTTTCAAATCTGAGACTTGGCTTGGTTTCTGAATGAGTTTCTAGTGTTTAAATAAAGTATTTTGTAATTAGCACTCCTCCAAAGGCCTGGGAAAGAAAAATCCTGTCCAAAAATCTGGTTTTATTTAGAGTGCCAGGAAGTCAAAGAGCACCAGGACCATCTAGGCAATTAATGGTGGCAAAAATAGACACATGTTTTGCAAGTTTTCCCAGGAAAATCTGCTAAGGGCAGCATTTGTTAACCTAATTGCCAGTACTCCCACTCCTATAGACTGGCTGCTTTTACAGTGGGGAAAGTAAATCTATATTTGTTTAGTTAATTTGAAAAGATCCCTAAGCCCAGGTTGTATCACTGATGAAAAGTTAAAAATTTATTAATTTGATTGTATATTTTTATTATAAACTGCTAAACATTGTAATGGTTGAAGACTTTCAAGTGTTTGCTATACAGTGGCTAGACGTCAGTTATCTCCTATATGTTGACACCCTGGGACTTGTTTCCAGTTTATTTCTAATAAGATAATATCTCACATCATCTATATAGTGTGATACAAGCCATGTCAACTCCCAACCCCAGATACAGCACATTCCAATTCCCAACCACTGAAGAAAAGGGGTTATTTGTTGTTGTAGCTGTTGTTGCCATTGTTGTCATTTAACTGTTTGATTTAAGCTCAATCCCATATCCTTTGTACAAATACCATTTGTGAGAAAACCATATTGTATCTGTTTTAATAATACTGTGCAGAAACACACCTCCTTACCATCTCTTGTGTTTTCTTTGCCCTTTTGGAATGAATCTCAGATGACATGATGGCATGGTAATATTAGTAAACTGTTTTTCCTTTGATTATTCTGTTAATTTTTATGTAAGTTGTGATAACAAAATAAAAACCTTGAATTGGTCAAAAACATCTTTTCTAATCTTCCATTGAAGAGTCTTAGATAAATTCCCCCATTGGTTCTGTTGTTCCACTAGACCTTATATAGCCATAAAGATACAGCCAAGAAATATCAGAATTCACCATTGTAAAATTAGATATTAACTTGTTATTTGAAAGAAAAATTTCAGAGCTCTGGGGGGGGCAAGAATTGGAGATGCACATGCTCTAGGATTTCTACCAGCTTTCAGAGTTGAATGTTGATGCTCATCATCTTTGACATTTAATATTGATAACTCTTAACCAGTTCTACTGTTACAAGAGAGAAAGAACTGCAAGATCCAGGCTCTGTCTACCTTCCATCTTCTCCAAGGAAGTTAAAGAATCTGCAGAGCTTTAGAGATGCAAAAGTAAAATCAGTCTTGAATTACAAGAGAGAGAGAGAGAGACTATATGTGTGTGTGTGTGTGTGTGTGTATACATATACATATACATATTATTTTTTCTAATTCCACACTGCTTTTTACTAAGGGAAATTCTAATTTGCTCTCAGAAATATCTGATTAGAGTTAAACCAGGCAGCTGGAGGATTTTTTACAGCTTTGAAGCTCAAATAACTTTGTATATGATGGGAATAACTAAACAATGTTTGAAAAATTAAGTGCCTCAGCCTTATAGTTTATGTGTGTCCATCCTCAGAATCTTTCTTACTGGAATACTGTGTATTTTCTTTCAGTATTTATATTTATACTATTTTTGGGCTTTGTATGATTGAGCTTTGTATTTTGTGATAGACATTAAATAGTGTGTGCACAATTTATCTCAACGTCTATTTTTTGCCTACTTTTCATGTCTTTGTTCTCTACTGTAATTCATTTCCTTTATGGTTTTTAAGCTCTGGCTAAAAAAATAACTGATCTATTTAGAATATGATTAAAGTGGCATTTCAAACCAGTGAGGAAAGAATGACCAATTTTATAAATGATGTTGGGAAATTTTGCAATCCATCTGGAAAAAATAAAGTTAGATTTTTATCTCATGTAATATATAGAGATAAATTCCAGATGGATTAAAGATTTTGATGGAAAATGAAAACAATAAATATTAGAAGAAAATATGCAATGTGTCTTCAATGGGAAGGGTCTTCTGAAGCAAGACATGAAACTCGTAAGCTACAAAAGAATAGACTGGCAGATTTTTTGACATAATTCTTTAAAATTTATGAGTAGCAAAAGGTATATATATCACTACTATTTTCTTTACTGGAGAAAAAAATCCATACAATCAGATGAGAAATGAGGACATAAATTGAAAATAAGAAGTCAAATTTATAATTTTTATTCATATAAGGTTGAACATCTAAAAAAGTATATTAAACCTAAGTAACTATTTAATAGTTAACCTGACATCACTCAAAATTCAGTTGCTTTTCTAGATAAAAAACATAACATGGAATATATATTTGGAGAAGAGATTTCCTTTAGTTATATGAAATAAAACTAAAAAATACATAGGAATAAATTTAATCAATATATAAGATCTATATAAAAATACTTTAAAATGGTTTTGAGGGTCATGAATAACTAAACAAATATAAATATTCTATTAGAGAGTAGTAGTAAGATGCCATGACATTTTAAGAAGCATCAATTTCCATCAAGTTGATCTGTAAATTTAACACAATCCCCATAATTTTATCAATAAGATCTTAATTTTCAGTAATTACACAAGCTGATTCTAAAAGTGATAAAATAGCATGAAATAATAACTGGAAAATAGTAAAAGATAAAAAAAGAGAGCTTTCAATATACTTAAATATATTATACAGCTATAGTAACCAAGAGAATTTGGTCCTGGCACATGAATATGCGGGCAAAAAAGTCATCAGAATAAAGTTCATAAATAAACTAAATTACATAAAGAATTCTGATATATGGTAAATCACATGACAGGAGTTGAATATTAAAAATGATTTAGGCTTTGGAAAATATCAAATTGGATATCTACTTCGATCTTTATGTCCAAAACATTTCCATATGTATCAAATACTTAAACACTCAAAATTTTAAAAAGAACTTTGCTTTTATAATTGCAATGATGCTTTTTAAATCAATTGTAAATCATGTAGGTATTGAAGACATATAAATTTCTGCTCACTGAAAATTTTAGCTTAATAGAAATACCATAAGTGAAATAAAAAGCTGAACAACAAAATGTGTAAATATATTTGCCACAAATATTACTAAACATTAGTTTTCTTAATGAACCAATAGTTCTTATAAGAAAAAAAGTAAAAATTTATTGGAAAATTAAGAACAAAAGTATATGATTTACTACAAAAGAAACAAAGCAATGCAAATCAAATCACAATGAAATACCATTTTTCAAATGCGACTAGAATACAAGGCAACCGTTTTTCATTTTTTGGATTGTCAAAGATCCACAAATGTTTTCAGAATGCTGTATAAGGGGGGACTCAAGGGAAGCAAGTATTTCTAGACACGACTGGTCAGGGTTTTATAACCTCACTGTCTCTGGGTGAGTATACCCTCACAAAAGAAAGGTTGGTATAATTTCTTTAGAAGACAACTTGGCAATATCATTCAAAGGTAAAAATACATTTATCATCTGACATAGCAACTCAGCAAGAATTCTAAAATTATACATGCACAACTATGTTTGCATAGGGCTACATGCCAAGTATATTTGCATAGGGTTATTCAGTATTTTCCATAGTAGCAGAATATGGGGTCCATCAATGTGTCATGGTTATATAATGGAACCTCTGAACTATATAAAATATCACATAGAATTTTTAAAAATGAAGTAGATTCATAAGTGCTGATAGAGAACAATTGTTTAAGTATTTTGTTAGATAAAAGTAAGGATGGAAAACAAGTTAGTATGTTGCTCTTTTAAAAAATATTATCTATACATTTATAAGTGGCTAATAAAAATATGAAATGATGCTTAAGTTTCTAGTGATTATGACATTTCTGCCTCTCCTTGTTTTCACGTTCACTTTTATGCTTTTTATAGCTTTTTAAAATTTTTTATAATTTAAAAGCAATTATAAATAAAAATAAACCTCAACAATTTATGATCTTTATGTGAATCTGTAGCAATATACAGATGCTTTGAAATCAATTTACAAATAAAGTAAAAACCTATCATTTATTTTTACCAGGAAAATGGAGACTTTGCCATTATAACTAAGGATGGTCTTTTAAAACATTGGTATTTCAGGGGTTTAAGCCATGTCCAATTTTGCTTGACTTAATAAGTGTCAAGTATTTGGGAAATGAGATCATTAGTAGATTTGTAAGAACACAGAAAAATCGAATTGATCAAAAAGAGTTGTTGGGTCTTTCTTTATGAGTACCGTGGAGACAATTTTGCAACCATCACTCTGAACCTTCCTCGTTCACTGACATTTATGGAGCCAACAAAACAAACCAGAGAGGAATTTAACTTTGAATTACATAGTCAAATTCATTTCCCCAGGAGAGACTGAAAAGCAAAAAGAGCCCTAAAAGAAAAACAAAACTTCAGAAAGAATCTATGCATCCATTCCCATTTCCAAATGGGAATGGATGCATAGATTTCAAAACCCATCTAATATATGTATATAAACTTTTTAATTGTGTCAAATATTTACTAAATATGCAATTGATTGTGATAACTGATCCAATGGGTCATATGCAAATCTGATCAAATTATTGAAGAAAAAAAAATTCTAAACCAACCATGTCAGATACCACATAGTCTTTGTATCCAAACTAAGAATTTTGGCCAAGGAAAATTGGATCTACAAGACAAAATATGTTTTCTCTGTGGATGCTGGTGTTCGGCTTCTGCCAAATGCATAGCTGGAGAATTCAGATGGTTGTGATTCTGGAATCTTGGGGGTTGTTTCTACCTTCTGGCAAAAAATGTTCTTCTCTATTATTCAAGGTTCCCACATGACCTAAGTGACAGCTAACAGCTGGGTCAAAGCTATAATTATTTCATCAGCTGTCATGGTTTCAACTAATTCTTATAACTAGTGGTTTTTATTGATATATCTACCAACCCCCAGCCTCTTCTTTGGACTTCATGCCTGGATTAATGTCTCCTCCTAGTTACTTTGCAATTATTACAGACCCAATACATGTATTCCACATGCAGAAATATTGGGTCTCCAGTTGCACAGGCACCCAGGCTAAAACCAGCTATGTCTGTGACCCTTGCCTTTTCTTTCTCACACTTCCTTCCTGAGTAATCCCCACATTCTGTCAGTTATGTTACTTATGCTTCTTTTCAATCTTTATCCCATCATCTCTTTGCCAGGTGCTACTCTCCTAATTTGCAAACTTTCTTGCCTGAGGAATTGCAATCCTTTTCCAATTGGTTTTTCAATCTACTAGATAAAACCTGGATAATAATTTTTCTAACGTCATTTAGAACTGGCTATTTTAAAGCACACATTTGATCATGTATCTCTTCTATTTGAAACATTCTGATGATGTCTTATGGCCAAAAAGATTAAACCTAAAATTCCAAGATAATCATGTATGACCTTTCATAAACTGGCCTTCATCTCCCTCTCCAATGTCATTTTTCCACCACTGCAATCCCTGTCGCCCCATCAATACACACACACACACACACACACACACACACACACGGGACAGCCACCCTAAGAAACAATTCATGTTCCCCTAAATCTACAATTATTCTTTACATTACCACATGTCCACAAGTCCTTTTTTTTCAGCAATATTCATATTGCCACCATTTCATTACTCATCTCTTTTCTGCTCACCTCTACCCTCTCATGGGTGGCCAAATTCCCCCTTCTAGATTTGGTGGATAAGGAAGAAAGAATAATCCCAGTGGTCAAAATTGTTCTGCACCCCAAGGGAACTCAAAGATTTGAGTGAATGTAGGCAACTTTTAGTCCTGAGAGCAGAGATATCCTTCCATCCTGGAGACCTGGTTTCTAGGATTTCCTTTGAAGCAACAATGCTAAGGAAGACAATGTGGATGGAGAGCTATGGGATTTACTATTTATCATATGGGATCATAGACCCCAACTAGAGTCTGTAGGAGAAGCAACAGGTTAGTGGTCCCTGAAAGTTCCCTCCTTGTCTCAAGTTTGGGTAGACTATACCTTCTTTGGGCAGACTCTAATACCTTCTTTTCGTACTGCTTGAATGATGCCTTTCCCTGCTCCTTATAAGATTAGCCTTTCTTATAGGATCTTCCACTCAGTGTTCACCATCTTCTTGGGAAAAAAAAATTTTCACAAAAACTTTAGAAGGTTCACCTCAAATATCACATCTTCTTGCTTGAAGAGCTCAGTGGGTCTTCCATTTTACTGTTTATTTTACTCTGTACTGGTCTCTATCCCAGTGCTTATTATAATGTACTGTAATGGTTTATTTGTATGTCCATTTCTGCCATCAGACTGTGAACTAGGAGTATAATCCATGTCATATACTCTGTTACAGTGTCACAAAATCACAGACACACTGACAATTGTCTGTTTCCATAATTCACCAAGCTTTTTCTATCTCAATGACTTTGTACTTGCTGGTGCCTCTTTTTAGGATTCCTTTACTCTAGCCACACCCCAACCCTGAGCTAGCTCTTTCTTATTTGAATTCTAATTTGAAGACAAGGTCCACAGAGAAGCTATCATTTTTTTCCTTCCCCAATAATCACCATCACATTAATCTCTAGTTTTTTCCTAGCAAAATTATTTTTACTTGATATGTTTATTTATTTGCTGTCACTCTTGCCTATAATGGAAATGCAAAGGTCAAGGGTATCCATCTT